CCTGGCTGATGAGTAAGGAAGTCTGTTTCTGTTTCTGTTACTGTTTCTGTTTTTGTTCTGTGATTTCTATTTCCATTTCCAGTCCGTTGTCTCCGTCTCTAACTTTAATGCTCGCATCGCATGCGTAGGTTTTCTATGACGATTAAAACCCTCATATGTCAACTTGGCCCATTCATCATCATCTGCCAGTTGGAGAGAGAGACGGACCCATAGCCAGACTCTGACTCCGACTCCGACTCCGACTTGCGACTCAGAGGTAGCAAACAGTCGCCAGACACTTGGCTGATGAGCTCAAATCTCATCAAGAAGTGTCTGGCTGGCGGTTCGTAAACATATATCTCTGTCTCGGCTTTGATTTTGGGGAACTTACAGCACCTACTTCACCTAGCCGAGACACCAAAAGCGACTCCAAAACCCGGGGCCTGATGACTTAATTTTCATTTCAGCTAGCACTGATGGAAATTTCTGTATTTCAGTTTATTGATAGTTACTAGTTACTAGAAAATGGTGTTTAATTTAAGATAAAATATTTTAGCCAAGCTCATGAAGGAAAAAGTCTTATTCGAGTCTGTAACTTATACCATTTTCCATCTTTTAAATGTTTCTAAATATATTTTCCTAGCCTAGAGTAGCCTATTTTCTCACAGTGCCCTAGAGACACCTTTAACCCAACATGATCAGGTGGCTCTGCCTTTGGCTTTCAGCCTCTCGTTGCTGCTGGAGCTGTAGCTGAAGCTGGATTTAGAGCTGGAGCCGGAGCCAGTCGACTACTTGAGCGTCACCGCAGTGACACACGCAAGTGCTTGGCCTGTCGCTGGTGTACAACTCCTCCTCTGGCTCCTCCAGCTCCTTCTGCCCCGGGTTCTTGAGGAACCCTCGTCATGATGCAGCGCTTTTTCGGAGTTGCAGCGGACGCTGGTGAAGAAGATGTTACCTTCTGGGACTCCATGGACTCGAGCTGCCGTTGACTATGAGTATTTGCTGTAATCATTCTGGTAGCGCCTGCCGCAGTCGCAGCCGGAATAGGATGATAAATCTATCTTTTATTAGCATTTCAAACACTCCAGCCACAAGTAAGTTGTTTTTGGCCTGGCCTAATCCCAATTAAAACCACATTTTTCATCGATCCCATAGGAGAGACTGCGAGTGAGGCCATTAATGAGTGGAAGTTGCGTTTTAGGGGCCTTTTGTTTTTCGTTTTCAGGGATTTATAGGGCACTCACGAGGGGCAATGGGCGATGGGCGAAGAAGGGCGGGCCCCGTTTCCTGGGTGTCGTATATAAATCGCGTGCTGCACTGGAGGTCTTCAGAAACGCTTACGAGTTGCTGCCCCGGGGCCAGGCTACAGCCACAGTCCGAGCTGGAGTCCGACTCCGAGTCAGAGCCACATCATCAGCATCCGACTCGGACCGGGACCCCACCATTCATTCGGAAGAAGCCGGGCTCCATCCTCGCCTGGGGTCATCGGGCAGCTCCTGTCTTCCCGTCTCTCTGGGAGATGGGGAGACCGACCTCGTCGGCTGCTAATGATTTCGGTATTTTTTTGGTATTCCGTATTTCGTGTGCCAAAACAAGATTGATTTCCTGAAATCGAAACCTTGAGACGAGCAAAGTCAGAGAGACACGCAAGGGGCCACGCAGTGATCGCAGTGATAATGATGTCGAGAGCCAGTTTTTTCCCCTCTTTTTCTTTGTGGATTTGGGGTGGTGGCTACAGCTATCATGGTCTGGGGTTCCGAGGTTCGCGTCCCCGCCAGCGAAATGCAAAAACAAATTGTTTGTGGGTCAAGCAAGAGCCTAACAAGGAGGAAAGGAGGAGGGGGCAGGAGAGGATGCGAGATGCGGAGGGCGTTTCGTTGTTTCAAGGAATTCTCCAAGGGAAGAAGCAGAAACAGAAAAAGGATGAGCGCACGAGGATGAGGAGGCTGGAGCCTGCCCGGAGGCGGGGAACGACCTCGTCTGGGGCCCAGCTCCATCTCCAACTCCTGGCCGGAGAGACAGCACACGGAAGCCTAATGCTTGCCGTGTGATTTGTGATTTGTGCTTTTGGGCCTGCGGTTTCCTTGGAAAACGCGCCATTCTAGTCCTAAGTTCTGTGGCAATGACAAAGCGCTGACCGCTCTGGACTGGAGCAACTGCAGCAGCAGCAGCTACATCAGAGGCTCGGCTCGACGCGGCACCAGCAGCATGCTAATTTATGAAGTAGCAACTCGCAGCGACATGGATGCAGTAATTATAGCTTGGTAACTTGTTGCCAGCCAGGCCCAGCTTCGGCTGCGGCCTCATGAATGGAGCCCCAGCCGAGCCAGTTTGCCGTTTGCCAGGCTAAAACAGAAGCTGTTCTACTGCAGCAGCGAACAGCATCAGCCGCGGAATCAGCAAGCGTCAGGTGAACGTGAATGTGGACGCGGACATGGACTTGGACGGGAACGCGCCCACTCGGTTTGTCCGCCATCCCACCAAGAACACACCAAACGGCCAACAAACAAAAATAAGATGAAGGCGAGATCCTAATGGTCGAAGCCAAGAGGACTCTATTAAATATATAAATTATTAGAATTAATTAAATATTATTTTATTTGACCTATTTGGGAATATTTTTAGTTATTTAAACTTAAAGATATCCCTTATTTAATTTACTAATTCGCTGAGTTGTTTACCCTTTTTTTAAATTAAATATCTATTAGTTAAAATATAAATATCTTATAGCACACATACCCCTCTTTAGGGTATCTGACTCTGGAAAAAAGCTAAGAAAAAGGTCCTACCCCGTGGCGATTTGGCTGTTGATGGGTTGGCTCTGCTGACTGCTTGCTTGGCAGCGGCGGAAACAGCAACAGCCGCAGCAATATGAGGCAGCAGCAGCAACATAGTTTACACACCTACCGAGGCTGGGCTCCTCCAACTCCAGCTCGAGCTACAGCTACAGCTACAGCTACAGTGCTCCGTCTGCCGAACCCTCTGGCCAGCAACATGCACTTAACTGGTAGCCACAATGCACTTTATAATACCCGGGAACATGGCTCGCATCTCGGCTGCGGCGGCTGCTGCCCCTCCTCCGCCACTTGCTTGATAGATGCTTGGACGCGGACAACCCGGAGCGATCTACCAGGGGGCGTTGCTGCTGTGCTGTGCGGTGCCGTGCTGCAGTGCATCGGGGATCAGGCAGCGCAGATCGGAGATGGAAGTTGCAAGATGGAGGGAAGCGGCGGCGGCACCGTTAGCTGACTTGTGAGCTTAGGCCTCATTTGCATCGGGCCATAAACTCGGTGGCCCAGTTCTCGCCGCTCTAACCCGAATCCGCACTCGCATCCGCATCCGCAGCAGCGGAGTCCCATTGCGAATGCGAATCCAATTGAGGCGAGGCGAGCTCTGAGCCGGCGCTAGGCATCGACCTTGGATTAGCCAAATCCGTAGAATCCGTTCGCCGTAATCCGTTCCTTCCTGCAGAGCGGGCAGAACAGCTCATTAGGCCACGACACCACCCACCCAGGTAGGCAGGCTCGGGGACTCGAGTCGAGTCAAGGGTTCGCAAGTGTTACCAAAATATAATTAGCCAACTCGGGCAAATCTCTTTTTAATGCAGGCCCAGATCAGCGGGGGTGTTGCTCTCCAAATTGGAGCGTATCGGACGGAAGGAAGGGCGAAAAGTGTGAAAAGTCAAAGTCGATGCAGATTTCCGAAAAACTGAAACTGAAACTGAGCCGTGAGTTGTGGAATTAAAAGCGCAGCCGCCTCTCATCATCATCAGCATCATCCTTAGTCTCCTCTCACGCACAGAGGGAATTAAGCCGAGTTCTGGGTTCTTAGTTTCTTAGTTTCCAGTTCCCCGTTCCCAGTTCCGAGACATTAAAGACACCGCCCGTTGCTGAGGATTCTGTCTGTGGCGCCGGCCAGGGAGACAGTATAAATCATATCACTGGCAAACAAAAGGCCAAAGGATGAGAGAGGGGAAGCTGGCACAGCCCCTCATCTCTCGGCCGCAGCCTTTGTTAATTAATTGTGCTGCTCCGATATATGAACACCTTTTCTCGGCTTTACATTTTCTTTAAAAAGAATCCAAACTTTGCATTTTCGGAGAGAGAAATAATAATATTTACAGAAATGTTTTTTAAATAATTTGTATTGTATTTAAAATTCACAAAGTATTTTTTACAGATCAAGTTTGTTGCCTAAGTCTTTTGTTTTCTCACCTTAAAAACATCTTAAGGGGGGATATACATGTAAACCAAAATTTTTTGGGCAAATTTTTTTTTTGGTTTAAAAAATAGTTTATTATTTAAAGAATATAGTGTGTAAGTTTCATTATCGAATTCCAACTCTAAGTGCCTCAAATCAAGTATGCACGCAAGGTTCACAAGTGTTAACGTGGGCGCATCAAAAACTTTAAACGTCTTTTTCTCAGCTCCTAATTTTTGCATTTCTACCTATGCTCTGGACACGATTCACAAAAAACTATGTAACATATCGGAGTGAATCAAAAATTATTATGATCAGCATAAAATTATCTTCTATTTGAACCTACATGGTTGTTATAAAACGGAGTATTACTATTTTTTAAGAGGGTGGGACGTGAAAACTTATCACCTGAAAATGACATTTTTTCCTTCAAATCAAAATTTATTTTTTTTTGTCTTGATTTCTTTTTGGTTTTTTAGGTTCAAATAGAAGATAAAGGTGTAATGAATACAAAAAAATTTAGTTTACGGATTTCGGACAGGAATTACGAGCTCTATCGTGTCCATAGCACGGCAACTCAAAGCTCGAGGCGCTACGGCATATGTTCCATAAGTCCGCCATTTTGTAAAATATTGTTTATAACTAATTTTTTTTATCATCTCTGAATCTACTTTTAACTATATCCAAAGTTTCACGACGATTGCTTGACTATTTCTTATAAAAAAAAATTCACGAAAAATGGCCAAATTTTGACCGCTTACATGTATATCCCCCCTTAAATCAAAGCAACCCTTGCCTTTTTTTTTGAGGAGTTGCCAAATTTTAAAATAAATACAGAACCCACAAGACCAATTTATAGAGAAACTTTTCCTCTGGTATCCATGATCATAGCACTCACTCAAAGACCTCGGTGGATACTCCTGCTGCTCCTCTGCCTGCCCCTGCAGGAGAATGAAGGCAGGCAGACAGGACTCTCGCTCCAGCACCAGCAATGCCATCTTCACGAGGAGATCTTCTCCCGAGCCTGGCAACCATCGCCTCAACCCCAGCAGAGTGTCACCGCCAGGAAGACGCAGCCACCCTGGTGGTTCACCCTTGCCGAGAGCCTCTTCCTGCTGCTGCTGGTGAAGCTGATCCAGTTGTAGCCTAAACCTTTTCTGTAATTGCTGCTGTTGATGGTGATGTAAGGCCGACAATGGAGGCGACAAATGTCACACATGCTGAGCCTAAAAATCACACTGGATGCGGTTTTTTTCTTTGTCCCCCACATGATAATTTGCCGCGGGTCTGCGGATGAGCGGATGGATAGCGTTGGGCTTAGGTGATTCTAATTAAATTGTTCGAATGTTTCCAAGCGCGCGCGTGGAAAATCGCTGACAAATGTTTCCGTCAAAACAGGGTAAAAGTTTTCATTTTGTTTTTGTGTGTCGAAATCCAGGCACAGTGGGGCGAAAGAAGATGTTTGGTACAAAATATATAAAATGTAAAAAATACAATTCTTTTTATGGAAATAGAGGGCTCTTTTATCTTAGAAAAACTAGATATATTTTATTATTTTAATACTTTCTCACCACTGTACAGGTAAGTACCTTAAGTACTAGGGTCAGGTCAAAAAACCCTCACCCCCTGGGCACCCTATTCTATGCTAAATTAAACCCTACCTTAGGACACTAGCCAAGTACCTTTACCGAAGCCTCGAAAATAATTTAAAACGAATTAAAAGCGCAGCCGTTTGAAACCTCCCGAAAATTCAGAAAAATATAACCAAACTCCACCGAACCGAAGGCGCCCAATTGAAAATAGCAACAAGTTAATTTGTTGAGCTTCCAGTTTTTGTGGCTCCTTTTTTTTTTTTTTTTGGAAAGTCATTAGAAAAAATGTCGGAGTCGGCAATTTGAATATTTCGATGGCAGAGCGACTGGCGGGGCGCAACTCTGTCGGTTAATTTAAGGTGATAATTGCTTTTTAATGTGACACAACTAAATTTTTCCCCATTTACATGCGGCTCTTGATGTTGTTGTTGTTGTTGTGCCGGAAGTTTTTCGGGCCTGCGCATGTGCAGCCAAAGGGGGCGGGGGCAGAGAGACACTTGTTACGTCGCAACAACAACAATAATAAAGTGTCAACAATTATTTTCAAATTTCCAAACATTTCATTTCATTCTTCGGTCGTTTTTTTTCGTCGGTTTTAAGTTTTTTGATGTTTTTTTCGGGGTTTTTGTTGGTGTTTTTTGTTGTTATTGTTTTGTTGTTCCTTTCGAGTGACGCTGCTTAAAAGGTTTCCCAAAGTGTGAAATTGGTGAAGCAATCGGTGGGGAGTTTCCAAGGGGTGGCCATTGGGAAGAAGATTTAAAGCTCATTGAAGTGGCTGAAATATTGATATAGAGAAAGGCACTACTGGGGTATATATTTATAAGCTTTATAAACAAATTAAATCATACAAAATATATTAAAGTCCTATTTTTGAAAATTTCCTATTAAATTTTGTTAGATAAACAAATTATTATACACTTGCAGGGTATTATAATTTCAGTCAGAAGTTTGCAATGCAGTGAAGGAGACCTTTCCGACCCTATAAAGTATATATATTCTTGATCAACATCAACAGGGGAATCATTCTAAATATGTCAGGAAGAAATCGATTTTTTGGCCATTTTTGCAAAATTTCATAAGGGGTTGTTACATCATTAAAATTTTTGATTTTGATAAAAAAATTGAATTTTCAAAATTTTTAAATGAAGTATGCTGATTTATTAACTGTAGAAAATCTTGCACAGAACAGTTTTTCGATTTAAAATTAATGCTCTTTTGGCCGAGTTATAATATTTTTAATTTAAAAAAAATTAAGAAGATTTTTTCAATATAAAAAATTCGATTTTATAATACAAAATAATATTTTTCTAAGTCAAGGAATCATTTCCGACCCCATAAACCATATATATTCTTGATCAGCATTAACATGCGAATCTTTCTAGACATGTCCAGAAGAAATCGATTTTTTGGCCATTTTTGCGAAATTTGATAAGGGGTTACATCATTAAAATTCTCAAAAATGACCAAAAATTTTGATTTCTTAAAATTTTAAATTTGGTATGCAGTTTTTTTAAATTAATAAAAACTAACACAAAACTGCTTTCCGAATCGAAATTAGTGCATTTTTGGCTTAGTTATGATATATTTTAATTGTTACCTGCAAGGGTATACAAACTTTGGCTGGCCAAAGTTAGCTTTCTTTCTTGTTTCTATACTAATCTTTAAAAAGTATATGTATTATAACTCTATAGAATTTTGTATATTAATTTCACTTCTTTCTATAATTTATTTTAGCTCAAGCCTTCTCCTTCTTCTAGATCATGTTCGTTGTTTGAGTCTTTTGTTTAAAGAAATATATTTTTTTTTTTATTTCTTAATTACCTTTACCTTGTAAGAATTCACTTACCCAACATTTATTTCATTAAAACCACTCAACAAAATTAACTAAAATTAAGTAAAATAATTTACCAATCTCAGAGCAATGAAGCCATCAACATTCAATGGCTGAAAACTCAATCGAAATTCCTGGCCAACGCGCCAACCAGTTTCCCCCGCTTCCCCTCATCCACTACTGCCATTTTCCGGCCTTTGTGTTTCGGTGGCTAATTGGCGCAGTTGGCATTTCTGCCCCGGAGATCCCAGCGCCGGATGGAGCCACCGTTTGATCCTAGAATTCAATGAATACATCAACACGGGGTTAGGTGAGAAACTGGAGGAGCCGTGATGGCTTGAAAATTTATTGGCCCCGGCCCATGCCGGTGCTGCCAATTAACGCCGGGGATGCGAGAGCCAACTGTCGAGAGCTTGGTGCCGTAGCCACCAGCGTTGATCTTTGAAGGAGGCCGCCTGCATCTGGCAGTGCAGAGAAACAAATATTTGGACTAAAAATATCACCTTGTTTTAAGGAATAATACCACACAACATCACTATTTTATTAACCAAATTAAAGTTTTGATCTTGAAAATTATCACTTCCTTTTCCATAACTTCTTAATTTTCTTGATAATTTAATATATTTATTTTAAACATTTTATATTAATTTATATCTTATATCACTACAGCACTCTTATATCAACCAAGTTTTTTCCTCAGTGCCCTTGCCCGCCGAGACTAAAGTGGGAAGTGACTGCGATGAAGTCGTTGGCTCTCTGCTGGGAGTCGTAAACTCTGATTTATTTCGAATTGAATGTCAATACAGGCTCACGGGGCTCCACAGCTCCAGCTCTGGATCTACAGAGCCGCCGAGCAGCCGAACCGCAGGCGGTCCTGACCCAATTTGGCGCCTGCTGTGGCGCTTTCATTAGCCTCCTCGTACATCATAAACAGATTCATAAACTGCACTTCTCGGACGATCGGTTTATGTTTATGGCGTTGAAAGGCGCATCGAATGGCCGTCTCTTCGGCTGTCCCAAGTTCGAGTGTTTCCCGTTTCCGTGGTGAGGTCAGCCTGTAGTTTGATTTTTGCTAGCCGAGAACTCGGCTGTGCTCCCCCCTTTGGCCATTTTCCCCTGGCCCTTAGCCATTCATCCCCTTTGGTTGTGGGACTCATTAAAATGTAATTTGAGCGAGCGCCTTGCCTCGCATTTCATTTGGTTGCACTTGAAAAATTTCAAAAACCATTTGGGATAAATACATTTTTCATTGAAAAACGCTTTAAATTTTATTTTTATATTTATTATATATTTTTATTGTATTAAAATGGTTTAAAGGAAGGATATCAATATAAAAGGGCTACTAAACTACGAGTCTCAAATCTTAATTTAAAATGATTTCCTAAAGTTTTTCCTATAGAAAACTAAATTAAAAGAAAGTACATTTACCAGAATGTAAAAATAGTAAATAACAACGAAACTTGCGCTATTTGAAGACCGATTTTCTCCCAGTGTACGGAGGCGGCGGTCAAGTGAGCAGGCCAGGCCATCAAATGCGGCTCGGCGGCGGAGTCAGTTTCCATTTCATTGAGCCAAGAGCACCGCAACAGCAGTTGTTGGTAGTTAGCAACCCCCAGAAGCTAGTCCTCGCTCTTTTTAGCCCTTTGCTGGCGTCTCTGTCTTTCCATAGCGTTTGATTGATTTATGCGCTGGCCCTCTCGCTTGCTCACTCTCGTCCCGTTCGTCCCGTCATTTGTGGCACATTATTATTTAAATGATAAATTGTACTTGGGTCTTTGGGTTTTTCGTTCTTTTCGTGGGTGTTTCCGTGCGCTTTTCCCTGCCTCCTGCCTCGACTCCATCTTTTGGCCTTCCAATTTTCCGTAGATTTTCCTTGCGCGCAGGTCTTTCGTCTTCTCGCCTGAGAATTAATCGTCTCATTTGTCCAAATGCCCATGCTGTTGGCTTTAATTCGGGAATTAATGTTATTTGGTAATAAAATCGATTTGGCTTCCGTATTTGCTTGCTTCTGGCAGTGATTTCTTTTGGCCGAAAAGTGAGATATCAAAATGGGAAAAGCTTAGGAGCTTGGCTTTGGCCTCTTCCTTTTCCGGTGGACTTGTGGCTTTAGGTGTATTAAATGTAATAAAGTGGAGAGAAAGCTAAATGGTAAGGTCTTAGAGGGTCAAAGGGAGTATTAGGAGGACTGGGTCAATATGGGTAAAAGTCAGCAAGCAAATGAAATTCTTTCATTAGGTAATTTTATTTTTGGGCTACTAATAAACATTTATCGAGGCTATGAAATGTATTTGGGTGTTTTTTGAGCTTAAGAGCCTTATATACTTTTTTAGTTGTTGCTAAAATAAAGTAACTAAAGATAATTTTACAAATCAATAAATGTTTGTTAATCAAAACATTATTAATCAGGTTAATTAAGGCCTAGAGAGGCTACTTGGTTAAGAAATCCCCCTACCTCGGTATTCCCGTATACTTTGCTCTACACCTGCATTACTTAACCCCCATTTAAGCAGTAGCTTCTCCCATCTGATTGATCTGTAACCCCATTGATCTTTAGCTCATCTGCGACAAGTTGATAGATAAATTAATTCGCGCCGCGTCTGATTGACTTGCAAACGTGTTTGTTTGACATATTTGCACGTGCCTCGTGCGGCGGTAATTTGATTTTGATTTATGGCCAATTAATCGCATGGCCCAAGAGCGGCTCGGCACAACCACACACACCCAAGATACACCTGTATATTCCTCACAAGCACCGTCACACACACACGCACACACACATTTTGAGTGGCAGCAGTAGCAGTGGCAGTGACGGTGGCCGCCACCGCCGCTTAGCTGGTAGTCTAATCATAATTTGCATTTAATAAATATTTCATTAAGTAATTGCCACAATTACGTGCATTTGAACTGTGTTCCCCGCGTTCCATGCGGCAGCGTTCCCTTTAAATTAAAGCCAGGTCAGGCCAGCAGAAAATGTGGCTTAAGCCCGGTGGTAGTGCTTTCCGGATCGAGGGATTAACATTTCAATTGGTTGTGGTCTATA